GGCCGAACGACTTCAGCCCTCGCTGGTCGTGCTTACCCCTCGGCGGGCCAGGCTGCATCTGCGTTACACTCTATGGCGGTGCTCCAAGTGTACCAGGCGAAGCTCCTTCGCGCCATGGATGAGTCTGGGCTAGAACATTCTGCAGCGTTCAGAGAGCTGCGCAGCGCCACCAATTTGGCCCTGCGCGCCACAAAGACGACTGCACAGGTCATTGGGAGGTCGATGGCCAGCCTGGTGGTGCTGGAACGCCACTTGTGGCTGGATTTGACTCAGCCCTCTGCACGGCCTGAGCCCAGGCAGTGCTCGCGCTCTGCAAAGCGCTACCCTTTCCCCGAAGTGCCAGGGAACCCGGCCCAAGATTGTGCTGGACCCTGCACCTCAGAAGCCATCCTGATCCCTCAAGAAGGAAGAGGAGGGGGCAAAGTCTCGCTGTGGCCGGACCACCCCCCAAACTGCCTCGTATGTGTCCCCAGTCGCCCCGTCCAGTTCCGGGTGCTGGGAAAAATGTGTTTATTGCATGCAAAGGGCCCGTTCTAGCGCCCAAGTGTACAACCGCTGTGATAGCGGACAAAATAAAACACTAACATACTCAAAAAGAGAGCAAATTTCCTCTTCCAAACACGGCGAGTCCCGGGTCCCTTCACAGTGACCCGCCGCCCGAACCAATTCAACCCCTTGCCACAAGGGCCGAGGCCTGGCAGGCCATCCCCGGCGTGTCAAAATGGGTTATGGGGATTATAAAACGAGGTTATCTACTCAAATTCACTCAAGAACCCCCGCGTTTCTGCGGTGTGATCCCCACCTTAGTAGGGAACAGGAACGCTCGCGTTCTTCGTTCCGAGGTGGCTGTGCTGCTGGCGAAACGGGCCATAGAAATCGTCACGCCAGCTTAGAGCGAGTCAGGCTTTTACAGCCGCTACTTCCTAAACTAAAAAGGATGGCGGCCTCAGGCCCATCCTCAATCTCAGGATTTTGAACCGCGCCCTAGTAAAGTGCACATTCAGAATGACCACTTTAAAACAGATCCTCTCGCTAATTGGCCCAGGGGACTGGTTCTTCTCTCTGGATCTGAAAGACGCTTACTTTCACATTCAGATAGCCCCCCATCACAGGCGCTTCTTGAGAGGGAGTGGCATATCAATATACGGTCCTGCCGTTCGGGCTGTCTCTGGCCCCACGCACTTTTACGAAGTGCATAGATGCAGTTCTCTCCCCTCTGAGACAGATGGGAATCCGCATTCTGAATTACCTCGACGACTGGCTTGTCTTAGCCCAGTCAGAGGCCGAGCTGATAGCCCACAGATCCTCCCTCCTCAACCACTTAGAGTGCTTGGGGCTCAGGGTCAATTACGCCAAAAGCTCAATGATTCCCAGCCAACGAATCTCATTTCTGGGGGCTGTCTTCGACTCAACCCAAATGGGAGCTGTAGCCTTGCCGGAACGTGTCCTGGTTATACAGCGGCTGACGACCGCCTTCACGATTGGCGCGTCCCTTCCTCTCAGAGTGTTTCAGAGGATGCTGGGCCTTATGGCCTCTGCATCGCCAGTACTGCAGTTAGGCCTCCTTCGCATGCGGCCTCTTCAACACTGGCTGAACCCCCTGGTTCCATCCCGAGCTTATCAAGGTGGATCAAGCCTGCATCGCAGCCCTTGCCCCTTGGAAGGACCCTTCGTGGTTCAAACAGGGCGTACCCCTGGGGATGATGCACAAAAGGAAGGTCATCTTCACAGATGCGTCAAACACGGGCTGGGGAGCCCTGTGCGACGGCAGACCAGCCTTTGGCGCGTGGTCGAGCGAAGAGACAAAGCTGCACATCAACTGCCTGGAAATGCTGGCAGTATGGCAGGCCTTACAGTCCTTCCTACCACATCTAGAAGGATGCCATGTCTTAGTCCGATCGGACAACATGACGGTAGTATCCTACATAAATCGCCAGGGCGGCCTTTCCTCCCCACGCCTCTTCAGGATGGCAAAGAGCCTACTGGAGTGGGCACATTGCCACTTGCGCTCCCTAAAAGCAGCGCACATACCCGGCAAACTGATCCAGGGAGCAGACATGCTGTCTCGGAGCAACGTCCCCTCTGGCGAGTGGATGCTTCACCCCCAGACGGTTCAGAGAATATGGGAGATCTTCGGGAAGGCAGAGGTCGACCTCTTCGCCTCAGAAGACAACTCTCACTGCCCAATCTATTTTTCGAAGGAAAGGGATGCGCTGGCCCACGATTGGCCCAGCCTTCTCCTTTACGCTTTTCCTCCGATCGCCCTGATCCCTCAGGTCATCAGGCAAATCAGGGAAAAAAGGCACAAGGTTCTTCTAGTGGCCCCGCTCTGGAGAAACCAACTATGGTTCTCAGAGATGTCTCAGCTGCTCACGGCAGCTCCATGGCCCATTCCCCTGAGACGGGACCTCCTCTCTCAGGCGAACATGACGATATGGCACCCCCAACCCAAGTTGTGGGCCCTACACTTATGGCCTCTCGATGGGAGCCTATGAACCTCCCAGAGGGTGTCCCTTGGAAGGACCCTTCGTGGTTCAAACAGGGCGTACCCCTGGGGATGATGCACAAAAGGAAGGTTATCTTCACAGATGCGTCAAACACGTGCTGGGGAGCCCTGTGCGACGGCAGACCAGCCTTTGGCGCGTGGTCGAGCGAAGAGACAAAGCTGCACATCAACTGCCTGGAAATGCTGGCAGCCTTACAGTCCTTCCTACCACATCTAGAGCTTTTCATGCTCCTATAGACGGGATATCGGTCGGCATTTTTACAATCTCAAAAAAACTCATTCTGTATGATTTACAGTATAAGCTTCTGTACCCATGGGGACCTCAATTTAGGTCTCCACAGTGACACAAGCCCCCATGAATTGGTGTCTATTCAGGTTTCAGTCCCCAACCGGGATAAAAACAGGTACACACACACACACACACACACACACACACACAAAGAGTTGCACTATATGCATCTGTATGTATTAATTCAGTTCCCATTATACTCCATGTAAAATGACTGATTAGAATCTTAATACAATTTATTTACTATCAAAACCAAGTAGAAAAATAATCAAAATAATAAATAAGGAAATGGTAAATGTTTTATCAGGCTTTATATTGTAAATAACGAAAGGTCTTAATTTATGTACTGTATTATTCTAATTAAACATATTAATGCTTAGGGTACACCATTTCTGCTGTAATTATATTTCAAGAGGCGCTCAAGAGGCAACTATATTTCAACATCACTGCAAGGGCCTACAGAAGAAGCTTAGTAAACAGTTCACTTTTCTCTGCAACTTTGTCAATGATCACATCAGAGTCAAGAGAGAAGAGGATGTCCCTCTCGGTTGTCATCAACATAAAGGCTTCCAAATGCTCCTGTGATAGCTTGGATCTAAGTCTGGTTTTAATGAACTTCAGCGTTGAAAATGTACATTTACAGGCAACTTGAGTGATGGACAGGGTGAGAAGGAACTTGTATGCAAGTCCTAGGAGGTGGTAGGCATTTGACATCAGAATAAACCTCCCGAGAATCTGGTAGCAACACAGTGGGCATTCATTACATGAGGGACACTCCTTACATCAGATTTCAACCCCCTCATCTTCAGTCTTGTCTTCCAGTGTTTTGACCTTGTACTCGTCTAGTGGATACATTTTCAATTTTTCCCCACTGTAGAGTAAAATTGCTAAATTCACATTGTAAATTCTCAGCAGTTGTTTCACTGTCAAACCTCAACAGACATTTGCTGAGCTCTTGGAACATCAATGGTGGAAGAGAGGATGACTTTAACTGAGTGAAGTTTCTGGGGTCTAGAAATGCAAGGTCAGCATATAGTGTTCCATGACCCAGAAACCTCCTATGCAATGTCTCGGCAGCTGTGTCCATGATCTGATCATGGACTGTGACTTCATAAACCTGTTCTGGACTTGTGACAGTTTCAGCATGAGGAATCTCTCCAGGCCTGGTTGTCTTCTTCCTCCTCCTTCTTGATGGCAATGCAGACTCAACTTCCAGCTCTATCTCTTTGTCCTGCTCCTGCAATTTTTAATTTGCCCACAGCACAAATTTCCCTGCAGCTGCACTGACTGAGGCAAAGTCTCTTGACATGCTTTTCAGGCTTTCATGTGTTGCCATAACCATTCTGTGGGCAGACAGAATATCCATCCCTTGTGTTTGGAGGTATTTGGACAGTGGTGATGTCTGCTCAAATATCCTGAAGGTTTGTGCTGTCAGTATCATCTCATACTTAAGCAGAGCCTCAACAAATCCTCGAGCTTGAATGCGAGCAGTTGTTTTCATGGTCATGTCCTCTTGTATTGCTGTCAATGCAAGGATGACATTCACATAGAGACAATTATCTGGATTTGCAAATGATCCAAACTCTTTCCTGAGAGCATTATTTTTGGCCCACCACCTTGTCTCGCCGTTTTCTCGAGTCGTTTCTGGTGCTTGCCCTGACTCTCACTTTCCCACACATTCTTCCTTTTGTATGACTCACGAAAGAACACAGCAATATCATTGAGCACTGCAAGCTCTGAAACAAGATGGACTACTGTATAACCTCCAAGAAGTTACCATGATCAATATTGCGGTCATCAAGCATGTATGCCGCATCATTCTTCTTTGTGGTAAGTAAACCACCTTCTATTAGTGCCATCCTTGCACCAGAACACTTTTTGCACTACTGGATTATTTGATATTTGTTGAGGATGAAACTCAAAAAAGGTCTTCAAGCTTTCATGGTGGGGACGAATGTAGTAATAATTATTTTCCTTAGTGTCTTCACTTTCCTTTACTGTGTATGTTCTTACATCTCCATTCTCTTCTATTCTTCCATGTACTCTATCCTCTACTCCATCATTTGTTCTTTCTTTTCCTCTGTCTTTTTTCTCTCTCTTCTCTCTCATGTCTACTCTCATCTCCTCTCTCTTCTTCACATTCCTCTCCTGCCTCATGCCCTCTCTCCTCTCCACTATCCTCTAATGTGGACCCACTGGGCCTAGCCTGAGAATGAACAAAGATGATGTTACAAATGCATGAATATAGACAAAATATGTTCTGCACCCAAAAAAAAAAACATTACATGTTCTGACCCAGGGCTCAAAAAATTGGCTAAAATTTAAGTTAATTATGGCAAATAATTGAAGAAGTATGGTATAATGGTATTTCTGTAAATTAGAAGAGTATGCAGTACAGAAAAAAATCTCATGCATGTCTTCTCAGAATAATAAAAAATAGAACATTTTAGGAACTGAAAAAAGCTAGTTCTGGAGCTGACTTCATTTTGGAATTCTTGAAGAGGTTTTTAAGGTCATTCTAATATTTTTTTATAATTTTTTATATCAATTTATACAAATTGCTTTGGACCTGTTGTGAGATTAATGTTTTAAATATAAAAATTTGAATATAGAATTTTATTTAAAAAAAAAGATTTTATCACTGAATCATTCATTCAATTGATTCATTTGAACGGCTGATTCATTTAGCGAATGGGTAGTTGAATCTCACTAGATTCAATCATAAACATTCATTCATAAATTCATGTTCACTCATAAACGAAACACCACTGTGTTTGCATGGAGATGAGTAGCGGCTCAGCTGTGACTTTGAAACTATTTTCGTTGACGAAATAGAGCAAAATCAGGCAATAGTGTTATATTCAGACAATGTAAGTCACTTAATATTAGCTTCTTGTTCACCGAACTGTTGTATTAAATCAATATCACATTTGCAAATCCCTTAATAATCAAAAACTTCTGAGAGTGGATTCTGATTAACATTTATCTGATTAACGCGTATTAAATGTCCATCTCACCTCAGCTGTCAGGACCGCCCTGCTGACATCTTTACTTAAGGCTTTTGCCGGTGTTCTGACGATTTGTGCTACCCTGTCAGATTTTGCTACCTTCCATTAAAACAGATGGTAGCATAATTCGATAGCAAAACGTGCTACCTATCAGATTTTGCTTCCAGCATATTAATAAGGTGTGAGGCTTTATTAATATGTACACCTACCCCAACCCTAAACCTACCCTTACAGTAGGATAAATACAGTGTTGGTAGCATAATCTGATAGGTAGCATTATTTGTCAGAACACTGGCCTTCCAGGAAATAACTAATTTATTTTTACACATTTGGTGTTCTCTGCCTCAAGTGCTTGTCTTTTTTTCTCCCTCAACTTCTCGGCCCCTCCTTTAGGTTTAGATATTTTATATTTTATCATGTTCACTATCGTTGCACAACCTCATCGTCTCAGTTGGCTAATCGCTGCAGTTGCTCAGCAACTGCTCTTGAACTTGAACTTTATTCTGATTGGCCAATGCTCAGCGAATACGTCACGTGTGCTGATCGTAAGTTTAGCAGTCAGTCTCGCAGTTTGCATCAGCTTCATGCAGCCAATTAGAAAGACACATAAGCCTGGGATTAGACTATACAACAATTAAAAAATAATTTAAAAACAAAATGCCAAACGTACCGGCCCACTAAGACCGCGATGGCCAGTACATCCCTGGATATCACTCGCGTACATGGAAGAAAATGGACATTGCTCTTCAGATCACATAATTCAGTGGAGAATTAACAGAAATGATATTCTGTTTAAAGAACATGTGAGAATACATCTTTTCTCAGGTACAAATGATAACAAGAACTCAGCATCCACTCTCTTCTCTCTTGCGGGATCCTCTTCTTTGGTGTTTGTTTACACTAGGTGTCACGAATCCTGTCCATGGACTTCCATCCGCTCGCCACCAGAGATCGCTCTTCCATTACATTGACTCTCACACTACACAGACTGTTAAATGTCACTACCGGAGTACAGTTCCCATCATTCATTGCACTGATTACACACACACAGCTGCATCCAATGAGACACGCTTTATAAGCCTTGGACTTCCTCTTTCGGATTGCTGAGTATTGTATAGCGTTTATCACTCTCCTAGTGATAGCTACTTTACGGAGCCAGTTTCTAGTTTTTCATAGTCTAGTCATAGTCTTGCCTTGCCTGTTTTCCCGTATATTGATTCTTGCCTGTGTTTCTTGGATTAACCCTTGTCTAGCCGTTCGGACTCTGTTTGTACCTCGCCTGGACTATTGCTAATGTTTCTGGATTACCCCTCTTGTCAAGCCCTCTGGATAACGTTCGCTGTCGACTGACTCACGCCCGTTTTGGATTTCTCTTGTCTCGTCTGTGCCATACCTGTTTGCTGATGTTTTGACCCTGCCTGCTTCTGACCATGTCTTTGAATAAAGCTATGCGTATGGATCCGTATGTCTCTCGTCTCGTTCGCTCCGTAACAGAATACTCGGCCACACAAGGATCCAGCAGCTTTTCTACAGGACACTTGCTGTTATTAGCTCTCGAGCAGGGCACACGATCGCTCGAGAGCTATATTCAAGAGTATTTAGAGGTCGCTAATTATTCTGATTTGCCTGACTGTATGCTCATAGATTTCTTTTGTGAGGGCATTAATCAGCCGCTCAAATCACGTTTAATCC